GGGGGTTTCCATGCTAACACCTCCCAAACAGCCCAGAGGTGTGAGGTGCGGGCAGCAGTGTGGAGGGTGGAGTCACACTTCGGCACTTGCCATCCCAGTCAAGCTGGACACTGACCCGGGGACTGGGGTCGCACTGGTGTCAACGAGATACCCACGAGAAGGTCCGCAAACGTAAATATTATGGATCTGGGTGAAAAGCAGGCTGCATCAGTTGCTGCAACGTCCTGTTTGTTCAATGGTCAATACATGAATTCTGAGAAATTTGACTACAGACTGTTTGACTCCCCAACATACCACCAGGGTCCATTCCAACTGTCAGGTCGTACATCGAGATGGATGCATGTCAGAATAGGTCAATCGCACTGACATTTAGGTGTGAGAATGAGAGAGAACACAAGAACATAAGAAATTTACAAACGAGAGGGGACCATTCGGCCCATCAAGCTCGTTTGGGGAGAACTTAACTAATAGCTCAGAGTTGTTAAAATCTTATCTAGCTCTGATTTAAAGGAACCCAGGGTTTTAGCTTCCGCTACACTAGCAGGAAGACTATTCCATATTCTAACTACAAACTGTGTAAAGAAGTGTTTTCTCAAATTCAGTTTCAAATGTTCTCCTGCTAATTTCCACCTATGGCCACAAGTTCTAGTATTTAAACTAATATTAAAGTAGCCATTTGGCTGAACAGCATCCAGACCCGTTAGAATCTTATAGACCTGAATCATATCCCCCCTTAGTCTCCTTTGCTTGAGGCTAAACAGATTCAGTTCCGCTAACCTCTCCTCATAAGACATTCCTCTAAGACCAGGAATCATTCTTGTTGCCCTACATTGAACCTTTTCCAAGGCAGCAATGTCCTTCTTAAGGTCTGGTGACCAAACCTGCACACAGAGATGCATCTGAGAATGGGATAGACTAGTGCTGCCCCAAATTTATTTTCATAAATATATTTACTTAATTTTTTTTTTTCAAAACTTCGGTCGTACACGGGCAGTCGCCAGGTTAAAAACATCAGACTTAGGGATGACACATACTTACAAATAGACTAGCATAATGCCCATTACATGAAAAATTCAGGTTAAATACAATGGTTCATAATAACGTGCATGCACTACTCTGTCGCTACTCTGTCGCTACTCTGTCGCTACTCCGTGACGCTCATGAATACATTGTGCTGCTTCAGTCTGTCGTCGGCTTGAGGTACAATACCATACGTATGTAGTTATTATCATTTACTGTATAATTATCATTGAGATTATATATATATAGAGAGAGAGAGAGAGAGAGAGATAGTATACAATTCTACAAAGTAATAAATATCAGGGCTATTAAAATCATAGAGCTCGAGGTCTGAGCGCGACTGAGTTTCCAGTCTTACTTTACCTGTGAGTCGGGTGAGAAGCCTCTGGCCAATCAGAATCAGTGACTATTAAACTAAGTACCTGGGACAATTGAAAACAAGGCCTGGATTTGGAATTGAGTTCCAGATCTAAATAGCCCTGAAATATACAGCTCTGGAAAAAAATTAGAGACCACTCTATAATTTTACAAAATCTGCATTTATAAATCCTGGTTTAATCCTGGTTCTGCTGGCAGAGGCTACACTGCACGGCAGGCTGCTTCCAGGCTCAAAGTTTCTTAGACAGCAGCAAAGAAGAACAAGGTGAAGCAGGAGGCACTGGGAACGACCAGAAACCAGCCAGATAAAGGGCAGAAGCAACACTGTAATGCCAGAGATGACCTTCAACTTATCCAACAGTTTCGCATGAATCGCAGTATGACTTCAAGTGACCTTCAAAAAGAATGGGAAACATTAAGTGGTGTGAAATGCACTGCTAGGATAATTCATAACAGGCTGATAGAAGCAGTTCTGAAGACGCTTAAAGCAAGGAAGAAGCCCTTCAGTGAGAAGCTGGGAAGAGCCAGGCTGGAGGTTGCAAAAAATAAAAAATAAATGCACAGGCATGATGCCCGTAAATGGAGAAATTAGTGAAAATGAAAATTTTGCTGTTGCCACTTAATTTTTTCCTTACCTGTATATTATATCTGCCTCCAGACTTAAGGATAATCACCACAGCAAGTGTTGTGGTCTCCAAATGGAAGTGTGCGTTTCAGTCCCACTTCCGACACAAACCTTTCTGGAGACCGTGGCCTGACCCTACGTTCAGGCCCCAAGCTCTGCTCTAATGTGCATATATGTGTATCTCGAAGCAGAGCATGATGGGATATGTGAAAAGAAACATTCCAATGCACCTGTACTTGTGCAATTGGCAAATATGACGTCATTTGATTTCAAAGCTGTTCTGTTTCAGCCCATAAGCTGTCTGTGTGGTGTTTGATTTGGGAGACCTGGCACAAAGCCCGAGACTTCTACTCAGTGCCGGGTGACTCATTAAGGTGCCATCTTCTGAGGGGGCACCTAATTAGCAAGCCAATTTCACTTCGTCTCAGACAGGGGCCGCCACATTGGCTCGACCGGTCCTGCCTCTGCTCACTCACAACGCACCGCCTTGACCAGAAGTGCAAGTTGCTTAGTCACCAGTAGATCTCTACTGGTTGCAGTCAGATAACAGTTCAAATGAGTATCTCTGGGTTCTAAATATTTATTGATGTGTACAGCTAACGGAGATTCTTAAAATCAATCCCCCAACTGACTTCTGAGAGGAGAAATGATTATTAGGCAAACTCTTAGTGAACAGGTTGTTTACCTGGTAGAGGATTTCGCAAGGACAGACATGTCCATGATGCTCTCTGTGCTTTAGCGGCCTTGGGAATGGCCGTTGAAATATAGCCGCTTAGCCGATGGCTTTATCCAAACGTGTTTTGTTTTTGTTTTTTAGATACACTTTCACAGCTTGCAGTTTCAATTAGAATCACTCAGATTAAGTACCTCGGTCAAAGGGGGTGACAGCAGAGTCCCTGTGAGTTTTGGAACCTCAATGTAACAGGCCTATGTAACCGGCTTATGTAGCAGGCCTATGTAACCGGCCTATGTAGCAGGTCTACGTAACAGGCCTATGTAGCAGGCCTATGTAGCAGGTCTATGTAGCAGGCCTACGTAGCAGGCCTATGTAACTGGCCTACGTAACCGGCCTATGTAACCGGCCTATGTAGCAGGTCTATGTAGCAGGCCTACGTAACCGGCCTATGTAGCAGGCCTACGTAGCAGGCCTATGTAACCGGCCTATGTAGCAGGTCTATGTAACCGGCCTATGTAGCAGGCCTATGTATTTAACCAGAACGCTGCCTAAGTAAGATTAGAATGAGTATTTATTTATCTTTTTGACACAACGTATGCAACTCATGACAACTCATACACAGGCGGTCACCAGGTTACGAACGAGATCCATTCCCTAAGTCAGTCTTTAAGTCGAATTTGTAGGGGAATCGGAAAAAAAAGCCAGTGTAACTTAATTAAGATCATTAACATTCATAAACAGCCTGGTTGGAATATTTGCGTATCTGTGGTATCTGTGGTTTGGACAGCAAATCCTGGAAGTAGTGCAATGCGGTATTAATTGTGAGACTATGTGCTCCTGTATTAACACCATATTAATTATGCGTGTGCTTCAATTAAGGGTCAGAGGTCACCTGAGGGCACGGACCCACATCTTCTGGTCAAAGGTCAAACCTGTGGGCGCTGATCTAAGAGGGACCCCTAGCTCTGGCAGTAGGGGGTGTTTCTCCAGGGAGTGAGAGTTCACCTAACACTGTGCACTGCTAAGAGATAGCAGGGAGATAGACCAGTCTTGCATGGTGGGGGTGGGGGCAGTTGGTGTCCTCTATTTACCTCCTCATTCAAGGGAGTGGGTAGTCAGTTTGAAATCCAGATCTGCTGTGCATTCTGAAAGATTTAGTGTATGAGGAAATCAACGATTGCCAAAGGATTTAAAACTATGTCGTTTTTTCAGTACCAGTATGTGCAAATTATTATTTCTAGGGTTTTATTACAATGTATTTGTCATAACAATTGAAAAGAATACGCTCATCTGCTAAGCGTTTTGTCTCTCCGTTATTTCATGGCAATTTCTTTGTTTTCAATACGGTGATGGCAAACAAAACTAAAAAAATAATATAAACGGAGCTTTATATTACTACGCCGGCTACTTTTGTTCTAAACAGGTTTTTACTGGCTTTGTTAGGAACATCACAGAAGTACAATAGTAAAACCAGGTGTTTTGCATTTTAAAAGGAACTTAGCACACTGCGATTAAAGTATCTTCAGTTCCCTCGGGGACTGACTTTGCACAAAGAAAGTGCAGACGCCCGGAATCTGAGCCGCTCCGGCCGCGATTACCTGCATTCCACGCCGCGGGAGAGCGCAGCTTGTCCGGGCAGCGGATGGCGGAATGCTGCGAGGGGGGGAGGGAGATGTAAGCATCCATGTGGCCTTCGATGGTCAGCAAATGCAAGACCAGGATACCCCCCCCCCCCCGGCCCAGCCCCAAAAACCACCAGAGTGGAATAATCAGCTGCCCCCCCCCCCTTTGTTTTCATAGGACTTGGTTTTGGGGATTAGACATTTGGGTCTTGGAGTAAACTTTTGCCTGGGCGTCATAATGCAATTTGTGAACGACGATAAACGGTAGAGCGCCGTTAGGCACCTGAATGTGATATTTACCCACTCTGTTGCAAGCACTTAAAAACGCTTACAGAAAGACTTAAATTAAATCTTATCGTTGGCTCCTATTCAAACCGCTCACCTTTCCAGAAGTTTCCATTGTAATTTGACTTTTTCCGTTAATTAACTGGTGCCACCATTATTATCAAAATTTAGATCGTAACGCTAGATAAAGATGTCATAGGACTCCCCAGAGAACCATACCCTTAAAATCAGCACATAAATCAATTATTCTTGATTGCAGTATAAGAAATACTAATCCTCATTTCAATTATCTGTCATCGACAAAGGGTCTGCTAATATCGCTATAACTTAAAATTGAATATAAATGTTTAAATTATTCTATCTATTGTGAATTCGAGGCACCCAATACGATGGGTATTCGGCGGTCTGCTAAATCATTCTTTAACTTAGTGTTACCCTAATATTAATTTATTCTTGTCAGTACATTTATCCCCAATCCATCTTCCAACCTCTTAATTTAACAATTAAAATAGTATAAATAAACAATAAACATTTTTAAGTTTATGTTTGACATTTGCCTACTTCCATAATTTCATGTATACATAGGTATTTTTTTCATGCAGTACATATATGTGTGTGTTTGTGTGTGTGTGGTGTAGTGTAGCATAGCACAATTATTGACATTTATGTTCCTTAATTTAGGCTATTTTACCTCTAGAAATCCATACTTTTTAATTCGAAGGCTTGGCTAGATCGATATTCTAGTCAATTCTGCATGTGACACCGCATTTGGGCTAAACAATTCCTGGCCGCTAGCATGTCCATTTGTGCCTTTTGTGTCAGTTTGCTGTCTCGACAGGAGGTAAATACAGCAATAGGTGCAGGGTTGGTTTTTCCAAATGGAGCCGCGGAGTCCATCGAGGCCCGATTAGACCTTCATTACGGCCGTATGGTGACATTTGTCACACCTCGGCTAACGTGGTCAGGCGCGTGCTGGCTGCCCGACTTGGGCATTGAAGCCCCACTTACTCTGTCAAATGAGCACCAGCACGCAGTTCCAAAGCCTACTTTCTTAACCTTTTAAGAAAACAGAAGTAGGAATTTTCTGATGTATCTCGATAATCAACTTGAAATTAAAAGAGGAGGATAAAGTTTTACGAAAATAATACTGAATGAAATTTACATTAACTGCGTGTCATACTTATCCAGAGAAGTGCCTTGTCTGTTATTTGTGCGTATTATTTTAGTATGCATTGATCTTGAAATATATCACACTCCACTCAGTCTAAATCATTCGTAATAGAAAGTCATTCATTTTATGCGTATGCCCTGTAATTATTTGAAACTAGTCTTTTTTATTAAAATGTACTAAGTCAGTTAAAATTAGCGTAGACTTACACGTTAAAATGACAAAATAACGCAGATATTAAAACCACCGATTAGAGATACGCTTATAGTAGATCGACTCAGAAATACCGGGGCTGTAAACTAATTTTCTCTTAATTATACGCCAACCCCTCCGTTGCTTTACCCCCTGTCGCGTTTCTCGCAGATGGTGTCTAACTTTTCTCCTTTTTGTTTTTATAATCACCTCGCTGGTATGAGATTTCTCACCCCCCGACTGCGACTCTCTGTTTATACAACTGGGTAATTCTTCACACCAAAATGCAGCCTGTCCCCCTCAAGTCATTTGGCATGCACACCCCCTCTCCCTCCCTCCCTCTCTGCCCCCCTCCTCCCCCCTGCCCACCTATCCACCAGCAGCCAGCCCCCCGGCTGTGGTTCTTATAAAAACCCTGGCCGTACGCGACTGCTGTATAGACTCACAGCGGCTTTAACCAACACTGGTGAATCCTGCATACAGCCGGAGACTGCGCCTACCCCACGTCGTGATACGAGAGGAGACGGTTTTGCTTTTTGGCCAAGGAGCTTATTTGCGAAATACGGAAATGGAAACCTCTGTTCTCTCCAGCCACCAGAATCCCTTCGCTACGGCTCCTCTTTCGCTCTTGAACTGCGTTCTTCGTAGCCAAACACGCACGAACAGGTAAACTGCGATGCCTTGCAATAGGTTCTTACACCTATTTATGCGGGATGGATATACTGTATTGCTAATTATCCCACTTCAGTGGAATTAAGCGATGTATTTAATTACTGTATTGCAATCACTAATAATTTCAATTGATTAATTAAATGGATCGCATGGGATGATTCGCGTATCTACACTTGTGATATCCTGTTAAGACGTGTTGATTGCTTTTTAATTATAAATGCGTAGCTTATGTTAGCAAAACAATGCGTGTTATCAGAATTTCTTAAATTATACATATCCATGTATTGCATGGTCAGTTTTGTGTAGATGTAGCGCAGTTGGGTTCGATTTACTTCTCCCAGAAAGGCCTGTTTGTTACATTTATTTATATTATTGACGCTTTAACAAAGAGCGCTGTATTTAAAAATGTGCATTGTACTTTAATAAAGCGTATTTGATTGACACTGACCGTATGGCTTCTCTGCAGTCATGCTGTCCTGTGGAGACCCTGGCTGACCACCAGCGGAGATGCGCAGAGCAGATGCACGAGGACCCGAACTGTGTGTGTAAGTTCCATATCTGTCTCTCACGTTACTCTAAACGGACTTGTATGTTGTTGATATGCGTTCAGTCACATTTTGTTGTACGAATCGTGTCGCAAGCTATCGTTATATTTAAAAGGTTTTCATTTGCAAATTGCATTTAAATTGCATAGTACAAAACGCTCATATTTACAACTTAAATTCGGATTCATTGGCAGAATACGTATTTGCGATTTGTACTTGTAGTTCGTGAATCCATCGCAAATTAGGTATTTGCAAACACATAATTAAAAAGGGTGGAGGGGTTAGACAAACTTGCCCGAACAGCAGGGGGACAGGAAGGAATGTAGGGACAATTCACTGGAGCGTGCCAGAGCCAGAGGTGTAAAAAATAAGCTGTTTTCGACACCTTGCCGCTTAGTGGATGTAAGACAACCAATGGCAAGGAGTGACAGGGGATTCTGGGTCTGACACACGGAGCCATCTGGCAGGACAGGGACAGCCTATCCAGGAACGCCATTAACACCAGAGGTGACACATTAAGAGCGTTTCGGCCTAGCTAACACTTCCCCGTCGGTCGCAGAAAAGCCAAAACAGACACCTTTGCACCCGGGACAGAAAACAGGGCCCTTTTCCCACAGACTGACTTATCTAGCACCCAGCCATCCTTCCACCATTTGGACAGGAGCCAGTCCGGTAGTGAAAATAGCCATTTTACCCCCAATGTGTGAAATTAACATTCTTGTGGTTCTTTGCTTATAGCCATACACCAGAGCAGTCGTCCCAAGAGGCAATTTGGTCGGAGGCAAGTCTCAATCATTCCAGCATCCCGTGAGGTCAGTATTTCTACACCGGAAATGAGAGTTTCAAATGGGCTGCAGCTGCAGTCTTTTGGCATTTAAAAATGACCTGTAATGAAGCATTTTATTTAAACTTGTGTTTTGTTTGTATAGCCATTTGTTAAAGCGGAGAGGGTTTTGCCAGAAAATAAGTTTTGTCATGGTTTGATTTTTGAATCCAAAAGTAAATGTCATTGAATATGAAATTGACATTTCCTGTGTCATTGTTAAAGTGGGACATACACATTTCTAACCGTTCTGTCCATCTTCACATCGCAGGCTCTTCTGGCCCAAGTCGAAATCCTTCGACTACCTCTACAGCGACGGCGAAGTTCTGCTAAGGAACTTCCCCGTTCAGGCGACCATCAGTTTTTACGATGAATCTGAAAGCGAGGATGAGGATGACAGTGAAGACGTCGAGGAGGACTGGGAGGAAGACGACGGCAGGGATTCTAAGAGCTGCCTGAAACATCGGGCACATTTTACCAGTGACAACTGAGCTTCAGTAAACCCACAGTGACAACTGAGCTTCAGTAAGCCCACAGTCCCTGTCTTGATGCCGTCTCAAGCCTATCTCAGGGAAGCTGACATCCCAGCTGATCCACAGGACTGCACAGATAAACCAGTTCTGGTGACACAGAAACTCAGCATGGCTAACACTCCTGTATTACAGTGGTCACAAAGACATTGACTGTCCTTATTTGCAAACGTTCCAGAGCACAATAACAATACCAACTTGTACAATTCCAGACAAAGCCTATCCTGTATGGAAAAATGAAGCAGAAATGTTACTACATAATCAACGACAAAACTATTTACACTTTGGTGGTGTAAACTGTTTCACTTTAAGGGTAAAAGCATACGCAATATGCTACTAAGCTTTGCCAGTTTCAAGTAAACCCATTTCTTTCACATATCACAATGGTACCACGATGCATGCTGGGATTGTATAGATCTCATATTGGGATGATTGTTTTGCCTGCATATAATCTCAGGGTGTGGACCTCGTTTGTAAATAGAAAAGTACAATTTCTATTTTATTTCAGTTTCTAATTTATGATGTAAAATATGTATTTATATGTAATTTGTCTACTTTTTATACATTGTTGAAACATTGCATAAACTACTGTTATTTAATTAAAACTGGTTCTTAAAGATAATTCATGGATGTTTTTTTATTTTTCCGCATTGTCAACATTATAATCATATCAAGTTTGATTCTATAGGTTTATCAGAGATTCCTCACATCTTTTTGAGCCCCTTTGATGTACCATGCCCCTATCTCTCTAGTCAGACAGGGGCATGTCCTGCTCTTAAGTGCTCCAGGCGTGAGCCATCTGTGGATATATCCTGCTGGGATAAAAACGACCCAACTCTTAGATTCCTCTCAAGTTACCGTAAATGCCGTGCTGCCATCGGCTTTACCACTTGAGACCCGACCCCATGACACACAGATCTTCCAGCAAAGGGAAACCGATAAATACTTTTTCGTCTTTAAAAAAACACCCTTTTATGTTATCATCTGCAGGTATTAGTGCGTCTGGTAGATATTTTATTTGTACCATTAGCCGGAGACGTCCTGGGTAACTGGCGATCTGTTTTAGCGTTACGGTCTGAACATTTAATTAACGACATTTACAGCTCATATCAGTCAACGTCAGCTCTGTTTACGTAGCCTTTTTAGTTAACTACATAGGATTTTATGTTTAGCCATAAAATGTTTTCTCATATATCATGCATTCCTTTTCCGTGCTTTGAAAACGCAATAAAGAAAGAGACGTGTGTCTTCTGGGGCATGTAGTCTTTTAATAAAAGGCGTGGCATGAAAAATAAATATCTTAAATTATAGGAAGGTGTCGATGCATTTTAAAATGAAACCACTGATTGTAGTATGTATATAATAAATTATTCCCAATAGTGTACCGGCGCAACGATTCTTTTACGCAGGGTGATTTGTTTAAACTGCTGGAAGTAGGCAGGGGCGTATATGGCAATTAACTCCACTACCCATCATGCTTTGTCATACGAAGGCGTCATTTATTTGCTAACGTATCTCGGCCCATGAGCTCATTGGACAATAAAGGGGATTCCATAATTTCTATTGGCTGACGTGCGTCTTCGTTTCAATCGCTGAATGCCTTGTGTGGGTGCTCCGGTTTTGGAAACGGATGGCATACAAGTGCTTTTGCTATGATGTGTAAGGTAGGGTTTACAGTATTTTCGAGTATTTTTGTTTCTTAGCGATTCGCTCGTGGTTGTAAACAATTTAAATACTATTTGTAAAATTCATGGAAGTAATTTTTATTAGTGACAAATGCAATGTTAAATAAGTACTATAACTAGCTGGCTGTAACGTTTTATTTTATTTTTATCTGATATCTCAGCTAAACACTCATATAACTCTTACCACTATCTCATTGCTTACCCAGTAAGTCAGCAAACAATTTTCTTTTTATTGTAATAATATAATGTAATAAATAATGTGTTTACCTGAATTGTTTGCGAGATTATTTGTTACTAAGACAAATATTTGCAGATGCGCGCCTCACTTATTAAAATAAAAACAGATTTCGTGCCTAATATTCAAATAGACAGTGCTACAGCCGCGTCGTATCTTTTATGTGTCTCATCCGACCATTGCAAGATCCCGAAGCTCATGTCCAGCAATTCTACCTAAGTTCTCACATGTAACATGTGTCTTTTGGCGATAAATGACATGCTGGATGGCGTGATTTCATTCCTGGAAATAATTCGCTTTTTGGTTACCGTGGCACTGGCAGTAAAGCCGAACTCGATGCGTATGCTTACGTGTTTATTTTAACTAAGCGCGCCCGGATTGTTTGACTGTTTTGAGCGCATCACCCTACTCTCCTCCACCTCCTCGTTGTTGCCATGGTAACCTCTCATGACCGCTTATTTATAGGAAACCGAATTTATTTATAAAGATATACGGTGCGTGTAGCTGTCTATACATTCACAAATCTTAAACCTTAAATTGTGTAGTCGTGTTGTTATTGTCACTGGTCTGCTGGAAGCAGTGAGAGTTGGTTTTCTGGCGGTACTTAAATGCTCCCTCTTGACGTCAGTTGGTTTTCTTTTATTTATAAATTTGTAACGACGGCAGAGTGCCCGCGGTTAGTTTGGGATTTAAGATCATAAATTATTAATTCTACTTTTTATAGAAACACACAAACATTGACTGTAATACAAATAAATACAAATGCAGACAGATAAATCTTGTATTGATCGACAAGGCCAGAGTCACCACCTCGACGGCCACTCACTGAAACGATTTGACATTTTTAGTCTTGGTCAGTCCTTTGTTTCCCAACAGATGTGAGGAAATCTGAATGATCAAAGGCCTTTTGCTTGCATCCATAGTTATTATATACAAATAGTCTTACTAAAGATTGTGAAATATTTTACTAACTGCTGTAATTCAAGCAGAAAAACAAAATCAGTTTTTATCCCCATTATATTAGCTGTGCTGTCATTCTTGGAGGCTCCCTGTCTGACTCTCTGGAGTCTGTTCCGCAGGTCCGCGCCTCGCAGTCCTGCTTGTGAAGTGTCAACATGGCTGAAGGTGGGAAGGCAGCCTGAAGCACCCGTGTCACAAAATGCCGCTGATGGCTCTCTTGCCATTTTTCTCCTGAAAAGTGATACTTAATTGTTAAAGGCATGCCCTATACATTTAAAAGACATTAATCACCTTGCATGTAGCCCAATGAAAGCATCCCATTACTGCCTGAACAAATAATTAATGTTAAGTTAATGTTACTATTATTTTGCTCATATGACACTTTTATGTGAAGCATCTTTCATGTTTACTCATCTATATAGTGGTGAGTTTACTGGAGCGGTTCAGCCATAATATGTTCATTGGCAACAAAATGGAGCTCGTCCTGGGACCCGAACCAACAGCTTTCAGTTTACAAGCCCTTGTATTTTATTACTGTGGCCAGAGACCTGTGTGTATGACTGCAAATAAAAGTCTGTTGGTGCTAATTAGCTCTCATGGTGCTGAGAGGCTCCACACGCAGAGAAGCACGCAGCAAGCAGACTGGAAGGCAGCCACGGTGACGTCACGGTTGGTTGTCCTGTCTGTCCATCAGAGAGCCTGCCCCGCCCACCTCGCTGATCATTGGCCTCTCTTAACACCTGCAGCATTCCCCGGAGTGAAGGATGCGATCTGTCTCTGCCTCTAATCCCTCACTGCCAACGGGTTCCAGGAGGAGTTTCGACAGCGTGCAGAGGACGGACGTGTTTCCCGTGAGGAGGAGGAGGTGCACAGGACCTGGGAGTGCACGGTACACCTCCTGGGCGTTTTCTGGAATGCCGGAGTTTTAGTTAAGAACTCAGGCGTGGACATTAGCCTGGAGGACTGGGGTGTGTCTAGGCTTTTCCACAGCTCTGCCTCTTCTGAATGGGGGACTACTTTTCAGCTCAGGGTGACAGTGCAGACCCTGAACAGCAGGGGGCAGCAGGGTTCATTGCACAGTACTGGAAATTGGGTGCCTTTTTAAGAGAATGCTTGCCGCTTCCCAAATAATTACCCAAAGCTAAGAGCTTTTCTGTTGTCTAATCTGGCACATTGTCTGGTCTCTTTTGCAATCTTTAAATATATCTGTTCAGCATTAACTTCCTTACCCACAATGCTCTGCATCCCTGCAGCCAGCCCAGATGGAGTTCTGGAAGCGCGTAAGCACCAACACGGAGAGCACCAACACGGAGACGCGCTCGGAGAGCGCCGAAACTGTCTACATGGTGGTGCCGCTGCTGGGCGTGGCCCTCCTCATCATCATCGCCCTCTTCCTCATCTGGAGGTGCCAGCTGCAGAAGGCCACACGGCGCCGGCCCGCGTACACGCAGAACCGCTACCTGGCCAGCCGCACCTCCCGGAGCCTGCCGCGCATTCTGGTGCACCGGGACACCGCCGGCCACTCTGAGAACACGCACTCAGATTGCGGGCGGCCGGCAGCGGCGTCCGCGGCAGCCGGGGGAGGTGGAGGAGGAAGCACAGGAGGGGGCTTGGCCCCCCATCAGCAGTCGCTCCCTCCCAACGGCCGAGCTCTCTACATCCAGGACTCCTCCGCCTCTGTGGCGTCCCGACTCTCCGGCGCCACACCCCCGCCCTCCTACGAGGAGGTGACGGGACACTTGGAGAGCAGCAGCGATGAGACCTCAGTCCCCTACAGCGACCCCCCGCCTAAGTACGAGGAGATCGTCAAGCAGAAATGAACGCCCTGCCTCCCCACCCGCCTCCACCTCCCCCCCCCACCACCCTCGGCGGCCGAGGAAGGTTCCAGAATGCGACTCCGGGCTCTGCACGCGGAGCCTCCGCGTGGCTTCCGTCCGTGGGCACAGCTAGGGGTCGTGTCCAGTGCGTTCGTTGTGCATTAGTGTCGGCACGTGGTATCCTGGTCACTCTGATCATCTCATGTTTGAACACTGAGATGCTTCTGGTTGCTGTACAGCTGGACTCCCACGTCCTTGCTCATCGTTAGGGTTTCCTGCCTCCCAAAGCCCTTGTCTCTAATGATCCTCCCCTGGCTGTAAGGCAGAGGAAGACTGGAGATGCGGAAGAAGCAGTGTGCATTCTAGCGGGCAGTCCGCTCATGGCGCCTGCAGCGTTGGCTGTGAATTTAGGACAAGCCCATCCTGGCTGTACGCTTGGTTGGATGACGTAGTGATCGACTTTAAACTGTCCGTCACACATCTAGGGCGGCATAGATGCGGCCAGCGGGAAACAGGTTTTAGCAGTAAGCAGCCCCCTCTCCCACTCTCCGTCCTCGAGCAGAGCAGAGCTGTCCAAACACCAGCCGCAGGTCGCGCGTATCGTAGGAGTGGAATCCTCCCCCCAGTCATGAGCGTTATAGAGACATCTCCCACAATGCCTGAAATTGTACCTCACAGATTCAAGCTTCGTTGTCACAGGGTTATGGGGTAGAAATTGGGGCCTGGAAACCCCGAGAGAGCATTGAGATCCTTAAACGTGGTGGCGTGTGACAGTACATCTGAATTTACAAGGGTCTGGGGAAGTCTGACAATTTAAGGATCTATAAAAAAAAAATGCAATTGTAAAACATTCCTGTCTCTTAACGTGTAAGGCCTTAGATCCCTATGCCACTTTCCCTTTCTTTGTCGGACGTGCACCTTCTTCGTCTCGATGTGCCCACACATGGCTGAGCGCAGTCAAGACACAGAGGAGCACATTACATAAGCACCCCCGCCTCCCCCGCTCCCAAAACCACTCCTTTTCTGCCTGTCTTCCATGAATCTGGCATTTCAGTGATAAGGAAGCAGGCAACCTGTGCCTCCACTGGCTTTATACTGTGTTTTTGACGACATTCAGTAAGAATCAAAATGTTTAAAAAGCACTTCATACTTGTTTGTGTCCACTAGGTGGCACTGTTCACACGATTGTTTCGTTCTCTCTGATGCTTTGTGAAACATTCCTTTCGGGTCTAACCTGCCAAACAAGCAGCCGCAATGCCTTTTGGTGTGTCTGTCTTGATGCACGTCGGAAGGCATACTCTTAGCTCAGGTTAACCGCAGCTGTTGCTGCTAACGGAGTCCGCAGAACGGGAATTGGGATCATGGGTCTAGATGTCTCAATTGGGATGCCCAGAATATCCTAGATGATGCTAAATGAAGTTGGCCACACCTTTCCTGAAGGAATCAGAGTTTGGGTGTTTCTCACTATGCGTACTAGACCGTACTTGTGTTCCCACGTACGTGTATGACATCACCTTTCATTGCCGTAGACTATTTCCAATGCTAAGAACAGAAATACACAGTATCATTCTTGCCCCGTCCCAAATTTCAAGGATATATTGAATTCATCCTCGCCAAGCAAAACCAATCCCATGATTCATCACTCCCCAAGTTCATTTTTGGGAGCAGAAGATATCAAGACCACTCTTGCCAAGACCACAAGTACAATCTTTGCGTTCTTGGTATTGAGAAACACATTTTGAGTGGTACCAGTTGCGGCAGAGGAGGTGGACTGGTTTTGAGTATATCCCATGGGGCAATGCTGTGGCTTTTGCATTGTCACCTACAGTCTGGCTGTGTCCAATCTCATGATACCACAGAGCTAGCGGGCCCCTCACAAGCTACACCACTTCTTCTTGCGGGTCATTATTGTCAACACTGTGTTGCACAATCCCTAGAGTGGCCCAAGGGGTTATGTGTTGTCCTTGTAATTGGTATATAATAATATGTATTATAATGCTGTATTGGTTTGAGCTGTGGAATTTCAAGCAAAATAAGTATTGTGTGTGTTTGTCTCCGTCACCCATTTGCCACAGTTTGTGCCATATCAGTCTCTATATCCAAATGCCTAATGTTAGCACCTCACGGATTAACGACCAAGTAATTGTTCCCGTGCATTTTAGCCAAATCTCCGTGACGTGAGATGCCATTCCCTTTATCTCCACAAACGGTGTCTTCTCAAATGGTCTCACTGATGGTGCAGGTATCTGGAGATGTTAGTTGATCACTCCAGTGAGACAGACCATTATCCGTTCATGTTTTCCTTAATGTCCAGAGAAGGTCTTTTATCTTAGAAGAGTATTTCTGTAAAGCACAGCAGAAGAAATGAACTTACAGTGTATATTTCTGTATATATGTACATACATGTGTGTTTGAAACACTCCACTTGAATGTCTTTTTTATGATTTGCTAATGCATGGATTTGTATTTTTATAATTGTATTTTGTTGTCTTTTATTACAAGTTTCTAGAGTAGATTTTAACACATGCGTGAACCACTTGATGTGAGGAAAATTGGCGACTATAGGTCTTAATGTCTGTAGCTCGAGAGGACATAAACACTGAACACAGCCATCATCTGATATATTTATACCCACCCTTGTGTTTTGCATTTATAAGAAATTAAGTATTTTTCAGTTGACCCTTAACTAAACATGTAACTATTTTGCTTTCGACAATTCATCCAAAGATTGTTCCAGTTGTCACTGTTAAACAAGCTGATCTTTCTAGAAGATGCGTCGACTGGAAAATCCAAGGCTGCTGAAACCAAGCATCTGTCTTCCGATATCTTTCCTTTGCTTTTTCTTCTTTCCCTATTGAAAGTGAGAGTGATTTCAAGATTTTTAAAAACTACTGGTTTTGAAATCCTCAGTGAAAAAGAACTTGCAAGACAGGGTTTCCCGAATAATGATTTGATAACTCTGAAGACTTAGATTTGATTAATCAAACTTGATTATTGGTTGATTGAGTGATTTAGTGGTTCACTGATGAATTGGAATTGCTGAATCCAGTGAGAATTCATATAGGGAAAGGTCTTGCAGCTTGTTAAATTCTCACTGGAAGAAACTGCAAATACCAGGACTTTGGAAAATAATGGATGATTCTGTGGTTTTATTATGCATATTTTTGTTGTGATATTTTGAACACTTTGACAAGTGAAGAATCCTCTCTTTCCACTCGTGCTCCAATGGCAGATTGTAACTCCTTATTATATTCCATCAGCAAACTTTACAGGTGTGGGGGAGTCTTTATGATGTGAACTATGTACAAGTCAGTTCTTTGATGTCTCCTGGTAGTGTTTCAATATGGAGATTTGTGTCAGGGCCAATGTAAAAGGTGACGAGAGGAATGTTCGTCATTAAGAGGAGCCGCCTTGAAAGTACTGATCTCAACGTTTAAAAATTCTGTTATATAAGAAACAAAATACAACCAATTCATAAAATATCTGAGATGTCAAACAAGGGTCATCTGAATGATGTGCACTTGTTCTTTCAGGAACATGTTATATAAAACCTGCTGTCAATATGACCAGTATGATCTGCCTTACATCTTCTAACTGATTATTTTGGTCAGGGCAATTGGGAACCTGGAGCCTAAGCACAGGACCCTACATAGGATGCCATGTTGACCAGTGTCAGTGGGAAAAAAAAAACTGAAAATGCTGTGATAAAACTCTAATGAGGCCATTAGACATGAAAACAAAGCGAGGGGCCTGTTTTTTGCCTTGTCACCTTCTACTTTGTTCCTCTTAGTGACACTAGTGACACGCACCCCGTACCCACAAACCACCATAGCCACACTTATTTACTAAGTGCCAAATTTGTGAAAGCACTGATGATACCTTTGTGCATATAATAAATGTGTTTTTATCCATACCACCCTGTCTTCTGCTGAATTATGTCGAATGATCTGGTTATTATGATGTTGATTCCACTGTAAATTTTCCGTCTTCTAACTGATTTTTAGGATCATGGGACTATGCAACACAGAAAATACGTACTTAATACAATTCAAATTTGAACTCTTTACTAATGGTAGGTATTTTACCCCTTAAAATGTACTAAAATTGTAGATAAAAGAAGTAAATTAAGTATAACATGCTGTGTTAAAAACATAATTAAATGAATAATTGTTTCTGAACCCGTGTCCATTTAAACGAGCAACAGCGACACTGAGGCATAGTGGCCAAGGTGTGAAATTGGCCTGCCCACCGTCAGCCAATCATCATGGAGCTTTGCACTTCCGTTTGCCGACTTTTTAAAACAGCGACGTCACCGGTTCGTTGGAGAAGGTTAGTGTGGTGCAACTCGAGTTTGGAGTCGCTTTTTAGTTATTTACGCAGATATAAAACTTACCAGTTATGACACTAAACATACGAGGACTGTAGGGACTGGTGCATTTAGGTTGTTTATTCGTGGATCTGAGAGAATGCACTTTTTTAACGTCAATAAATAACTTTTTAGGAAGTGTCCTTGCAAAGCACTAACTGCACTTGGGAAATGGCCGGCATGCTTGCTAACGTTAATTTTATTAGCTGTTATGCATACTATTCTGCAAATGTCACTTAGTCGACGACAAGGTTCACCGACATGCGCCGATGTTATTTTCGATTTATTTTTCTACCATCAAACTTTGAACTACATAGATAGCATCGGTGTTAAAAACAACCCATTAACTACCAGTTCATTTCCATGCGTTTTGAAGTGGTTGGATATAATTCTTATAACCTGAGATTTTAATGAAATGCGATGTAATGTCGTTAGTTGTAATAAGCGTCCCCTTTTAACTGTTTAGACCAGGGGTGCCCAATCTTTTCCGCAAAGGGCCGGTGTGTATGCGGGTTTTCGCTCCAACTCCCTAATTAGATTACTAATTAGAGGACTAATTGGCTGAAGAGTCCTCACACCTGGGTTTGAACAGCTGACCTACAGGTTATCCCAAAAACCTGCATACACACCGGCCATTTGCGGATAAGATTGGGCACCCCTGGTTTAGACTGACGTCTAGGCAAAATGCCGAATACCATAATTCCGTTAGCTACCCAGACTAGGGCAGTCCCTATTTCCCCTACCTATTGAGTTTAATTTGTATGTTAGGACGTTTTAGTTGATTAATAAATGATTAATGCAAAATTGAATGCATAAGGGTGTATTAACTTGTTAGTGTACCTGAGTACAGGTCAGGGCGTTATGGACCCCCCTGAGTTCTCGGAGGGGCGACCTCAGGCTTACTGTGTGGACCAGGGCTTCACTGAGGCCATCAACCAGAAGATGCAAGTGCCTGAGCGACTGAGTGTGGGGGTGGGACCCAGAGAAGAAGGAACAGAGAAGCTGGAGGACTTGACCCTGGCCTACAGGATGCATGTCCCTGACAGGCTGTCTCTGGCAGGTGGGTGTGGTTTGCAGACAGGAGCACACCATTTTCATGCAGCGCAGGTGGACAGTGTTAAACATTTCGGTGTTTTTACTTCTGCCAGAAGCCATGGACTTGAACCCCAGGCCGTTTTTCTCCACCTCATTCAAGCACAGTGCTCCCCCCCATGTGGGTTTGGCGTGGGACGTCCAGTCTCCGAGTCGGGATCGGTCGACGTTGTCACGAGACCCCCCAGTGGTAAGTGGACTCACCCTGGCTGTCTTGCTAATCACGCTTCTCTGGGCTGAGGCATGAGCGGGATTTATACGTGTCCTCCTTATACTCTGTCTCGTTATGCTTTTATTCTGGTTAATAAAGGATATATTTACCTGTGTGAGATGTTCACACAAGCCTCTGCTTTGACAGAGCCCCCTGCGGAGGTCGTTCAGTGACCAGACCATTAACTGGAGTCCCCCTGTGACCCCAACCGCTTCCAAGCAGATTCGTCAAGCACCTCCCATGTAAGTCTCCCTTTGCTTACAGCTTTTCCCTTTGTTTAAAACTCTAGCTGGTCACGTGACATTCTAGCTGGTCACGTGACATTCTCCCGGTAAAATGGTGGCTCAGTACCAAACTTGTTAGTTTAGGTCTAGTTTTTAGTGTTTTAGTCTTTTCTGAGGCACCTTGAAATATTAATGTAAATATTATCCAGTTAATGTGTTGCAAAGTCATTTATAAAAGCTAACTGGCGGTGTGAACTACATTTTAAAATATTACTACTACTTCAGCAAAATAAAGTCTGTGTAAAATATACCAGTGACGAATCATGTTATGTCAGCGTTCTGAGCCAACAGTAGGGGGAGCCAGAGTTCTGTATAGTGTTAGCTATTTTAACAGTGTGCTTATAGTGCCACTCTGTGCTGAGTTACAGCTGTTTGATAGACACTTTTGTCCAGCTACTTGCTCAGTTCTGCTCACTGCAGATGATTAGCAGCCTTTACACTAAGTGGTGCTGTCGTCCGTGTTGTTTTATTGTGGGGGCGATGGTGGCGCAGGAGATAGTGCTACCGTTCGGCAACCGGAGGGTTGCAGGTTCGAGCCCCGGTTCCTCCTTACCCCATCAAAGTGTCCTTGAGCAAGACACTGAACCCCAAATTGCTCCCGGTGTGCAGGTTGGCACCTTGCATGACAGCCTCCGCCACCGGTGTGTGAATGTGAGTGTGGATGGGTGAATGTGCATGAATTGTAAAGCTTTGAGTCCTCGTAGGAGTAGAAAATGCGCTATATGAATGCAGTCCATTAACCATTTTTACCATTTATTACTGTACTGCTGCCATGGTAAGATCTATCTGTGATGCGATCTGCACTCGCCGTAGCCGCAGCACAGGACGCCCTCCACAGTGGGCGGGACCTCCTACCATCTCACCCGGCCTCCTGACCCCGCAGCAAATGCTCCAGGCCGCCAAAGACCTGGGTCGCCTGGCCTCTCAGCGTGTCCTGCAGTCTGTGACCCAGAAGTACAGTTCCAGGTGACATATGTCGCACACACTAGTTCAGATGGCCCCACCCCTCTGACTGGACCGCCGTTCTATTGGACAGTTTTTCACTCCTCCACTTTCAATCCTCCACTTACAGGTCCAGCTGCCCAGAGAACCCCCCCACTGCCTTGACAGACACTCCCAGCACCACGGGCCTCAGCCGGAGAAGGTATCATGGCCTCCAGTTCCCCTGTCGCATTACATCATCTGTCTAATGCTTCTGCTGTTCTGTGCAGTTTAAAAAAATAATCCACTGCGTTCAGTGCTGCTTCTCTATACCTGGGCGAAAAGTGATTATCATCTGATTTAGGGGTCATGTGTGGCTCAGGCGGGCAGGACACCGTGCCTGTAATTGGTCGGAGTGTAACGGTACATGTAAGTTTAGCATGCATATGTACCGAACGCAATACAGCAAATGAGCATCCTTTGTGCGTTTCCCCCGAGCGACATTCGGAAACGGGCAGATGAAATCGTTAATGTGAGTACAAGTACAGCGCAGGTATTTTAGTGCATCATAATGAATGTTTATTTTGTTATGCTTTGTATTTTTTGAGACGATATTTCTTGCTGAAAGCTGCTAATGTGAACACAGTACAGATCAGGTGCAGTTAATTTTCTAAATGTGCATCTAAATAGATATTTATTTTTATTTACTTTTAAGTAATTTTTACTTTTTTATTAGTAGATTGCAGCAATATTGACAGAGACTATTTAAGAAAGCCATACTTTGTTCAGTAAACCACCATTTAATAAAGGGGAAAAAAAGAAGCAATTTATGATTGTTCCTTTTAACATTGCTGTACTGAACCGTGATTTTTGTGTACCGGTGCACCCCTAGTAATCAGAAGGATGCCGATTCAAATCTGTGCCGGCAAAGTGATTTTACCGTCGGGCCCCTGAACGAGGCCCCTACCCCTCACTGTCGGGCCCTTCAGCGAGGCCCTTAACCCTCACTGTCGGGCCCTTCAGCGAGGCCCTTAACCCTCACTGTCGGGCCCTTTAGCGAGGCCCCTAACCCTCACTGTCAGGTGCTTGAACGAGGCCCCTAACCCCCAGTTGCTCCGGGGACTGTCTGACCCACTTTCTCAAAAATGTACGGTGCTTTAGTTAAAAACGTCTGCTATATAAAATTAAATGTAATAATCTAATTACCTCAGCAAGGATCACCTTTGAAGTCACTTCCCTAAACTAGCCTTGTAAAAGTCAGCCCTGTGAACACAAACCAAAAAACAAATCATTTCTTGCAATGGTTAGGTTAGTCCTCAAAGTATCCGAGTCATCAGTTTGATGGCAGCTGGGATAGCACACTCTGTTAACCATCTGTTAACTTGGGCTTCTTACTCTGAGCTAATTTGTGTTCCTTTCTCCCGAGGCAGTACCACAACGGAATGGCTGGCAGAGGATGACGACGGGGGCAATGTCGAGTTCCTCGTTTTACGGAGACAGGTGAGTTTCCGGACACGTCGTCCCCTGTCCTGCCTTACCTGTGTGTCTTTCTGAGGCTTCTACACTCTAAATAGAATGACAAAGCATTGCCCCTAGTGGCTGAAGTGTTCAGTACAGGGGACATTTTTCAGTATTTTTTTTTTTCAAGACTTGTAATTATCTGTAGTGCCACCAGGGGGAGTCATTGCAGTCTGCAGGTTTTAAGGCTTTGTACATTGTCAAATTCATACTTTAACAAAGCATTCAAAAAGCCTTTCACCCAGCCAGATTTGCATAGTAATTCTTCCTCTTCCTTGGATGTGCCTCTATATGAACGTCTGGCTTTGTGCTGTGGCGTTCAAGCCACAAGAGCTGGAACGGTTCTACCCTTTGTCTTTTGAAACTTGGATTATAAAGGTATTAGTCAGAGGTGGAAAGTTCAAGTCCGCAAAGCACAAATCCAGGCCGAGATTTTGTTTCAACCAACCGTTTGAGTACTCAGTGTCTGAGACTCTTTATACTCAACTGGTTGGTTGAAGCAGAATCTCAGTCTGGATTTGTGCTTTGCGGACCTGAACTTTCCACCTCTGGTATTAGACAGTGAGATTAGCAGGTTTAAAGATGCTGTCTTAATTCCTCCCATGTTACATTCCCACTTAAAATATTAAGCTTAATTTCGGTTACCTTTTTAGTTCAGTGTGTATACTGAGTGTGGAAACTCGGTGTGATACAGTATCATCCTTTTGTGGACGGACGTCTTACCATTTCTAACATTTCTATCCGTTCACACTGTTGGCATTTTATTGCAGCAGTTACAGTTAAATACTTTGCTCAGAGTTATCGTAGTTGGGCATCTTTTCGGAACTTGGATTCCGATGTTTAGAAACGGAACGGGTTCCGGTGAGCTTCCGGCGTTCCCGGGCTGACGTGGGTTTCGTGAGTCTCCGGGCGGAACGGATGGGGCTTTGGGGCTAGATGGAGCTCAGGATGTGACCCGGATGTGTTGCCGGCACCCCCCAGGTGGTGAAAATGAACCGACGGCTGGCAGCCCTGGAGCGGCAGAACGCGGAGCGTCGGCAGAGCGAGCAGCTGCTGTTCTCCCTGCTGATTTCCGCCTGTCTGCTCAACGGCTGGCTCTGGCTGCGCAGATAGTAGCCCGCAACTGTGTAGCCGCACTGGGGTCGCAGATACGCACATGCAGACGGCAGAAGAGCGGTAGATAGCTGGACAGGTAGGACCGAACTCAGCCCGTGACCTCCGTGACCCCGGCATGGTCTATGTCATCAAGCAGGACTTCAACCCAACAACTGTGCTTACGAACTGAAACATGGACGAAGGGTAAATATATCAATTTGCGATGTGTGTAGCAACTGAAAACAGAGCAATATGAGAACTTTTCAACATCTGGATGAAATGCAAGTTTATCGCACGTGGCCATCAATACGTTAATGGTAGTTGCTGTAGTTGGATATTTAACATGCGTTTTTAGTGTCTCATACTCCTGTGAAGACTTTAATTTTTATCATCATTTTATCATTGTGATGCATGCACTGTTACGATTACTCAGCACCGTTAGCTTGCTGTTAATAAATAAAAGTATTTGTTCGAAGATTAATTTCCAACTCATCCATGTCTGAAGCATCTTCGTTCTGGCTGTGATTTGAGTTTACGACAGAACGGGCTCCATTTTGACTTGGAACCAAGGGTCTGTCAGCTTGCATGTGGGAGATACTTGCATGTGGGAGATACTTGCAGTGCGGTGATTTAGGTCTGAAGTTTTCCCCTCGTTCTTTCATACAGGTCGAGTTAATCCTGATAGGTGTAGCGAGGAATGTACACCACGCAGGACACTGGCCCACACACACACACACACACACACACACACACAGCCTAGTGATGTAACATGGATCTGGGAGGTGTGTGTGGCTGGAATTGGGGTGCTGTAAGTTGGCCAGGCACAAATGGGGGCATGGGTGGATGGTAGTGCTGCCCCCTTAGGGTCAAAATGTGAATTTAAAAAATGCCTGTTACACAGAAGATTAAATGATGTATAAAATAAAGCATTCTTTTAATAGTGATTTTTAAGCTTACACAAAATGTGCTGAAATACTAATGGCAAATAAAATAGAAACATGCTTTTCATGCTGCTTTTCTTTAATTAAGAAAAGAAACACTTTTTAAGTTAATGTTAAACATTTAAACTAAGTAATTTGAAGCTTGTTTTAGGTGCAGGAGCCCAAACCACAGACAGAGACTGCGGTGCGACCTGCTCGATTTGGACTGTGACTGTACACTTGCAGGAAGCAGCATCGCTGTGGTGGACTTTGTAGAAAAACACAGAAATGCTACTTTACAAAAGGAGCACAAACCGTAAGGAAAAGAAGTGAAACCCAAAGAAATTTATTAAAAAATACACACACACATAAATCCCCATTGCGACCATATGCAGGCTGAAATTGATCTTCCCCAATTGGGACACCAACGTTTTATCAGTTTCTGTAAAGAAACATTCAATTTTATTCCGGTTGATTTCAACCGCTTTTCAAAAAACATCCTCTGTGTCTCCCGCATGGAAACAGAGAGGTCACAACGGCGGGCGTTAGGCTGAGATTTCGAAGTTTTGATGGGTATGTAACACTGGCAAAAAATTTTTTTTTGAAAAATGCCGAATTTTATCAGGAAAGCCTTTGGCGAGATGAAACTCGGACGACTCCACGAGACGTGGCAGTGAGTCGTTCCGGAGGAACTGCTGAAAAATTTGCCAAGCCGATACACTGAGCTGGGTACGGGTACGAGAGCATGAATCCTGCTATTGTCCGGACATCCAGCTAGTTAACAGATTTCCTGCAAGCGTGTCAACATTGTTTAGAAGCTGAACTGATACTGCGACGGTCTTCTAAATATAACCCACGGAAATTCCCTTTTCATAAAAACACACACGACGCTGCTGCTTACTGTCAGGTTTTGCTGCTGTGACTTTTTTTGCTACCAAAAATACCCCGGAACACATGTTCCTACAGTAACAAAAAGATCGTGTTATTCCTGTTTAAAAAAAAAAAAGACTTTCAAAAGTAAATCAGATAAAAAAATAAAGCGAAATGTGAGCATTTCAAATGAGTTGTAAAAAGAAATGTGAAACAGGATGGACAGGTGTAGGCTGAAAAGCAGCAGACTTCCACTAGGGGGCCCAGTCTCTGGCACACGGCGCTCCAGGTTAGCTCTGTGTGTCTGAATGTGTATCAATACTGAGGCATGTGTCCTGGCAGGTGCTGAGTGCTCATCACAGATCACCTTATACTCCACACGTGTAGCTGGGAAGGTTGCAAACCAGCTTCAGGCATTTGTGGGGGGGGGGGTGAGGTTGCCATCAGTCACAACTGACAGCAGTGGCTTCCCTTTGACTTTCCTTGTAACCCCCCAGGACAAGCGGTCGGATGATGGATGGATTGACGGAATTGTTCTGCAGCGGTCTATCGGTCTCGCCGATCCGGTTAGCCTGACATGGCTAATACTGCTCGATGTAGGTACCTGCCCCTGTTGTGTTCCCTTGCTACCCTACAGAGACCCCCAGGGCCACATCTTTCCTCTGCAGGAGGCTTTCGGAGATCAGCGAAAGGAATGGGCAGAGGGGTGGGTGGCCCTGAGCCCGGAATTCCGGTTTGGGAAATGACACCCAGGCTTGGGGAGAGTAGGGGGCTCCACAGAGCAACTGGGACCCTCTGGGAATGCGACACGGTGAAATGTTGGACCGGCCATCTTGGTGGAAACACGTGTGTGGTTTAACCGAAGAAAGTCCAGGCTGAAGCAGACCCCCCCCGAAAAACAAAAACCCTTTTCCAATCTGCACTGGGGCGGGACGTTTGGGAGGCCGTGTGGTTTGGCACCGACTGGGCTCGATGCACCCGGCTCGTACCCGAGCGTGGTCGGAGTGACCCCAGGCCAGTGGGGTCACTGGTCCCTTCAGTGTTCAAGCGCAGTTACAGGATCGTTTCCAGACAGGAGCTGGACACTGCTTTTCCAGTGCTTCTCCTCTTCGCAGTGACAAGTCTATCCCATTCCGATTTTACAAAAGAAACTAAAAAAAACAACCTGCCCTACAGTATCATAGTACAATATGTACAGGTTTAAAATGCTATTGCTTGCTACCCAAGTGCCTAGTTTAATCTGTAAATATAAGCTACTCATAAATAGCCAGACTGGGGGGAGAAAAGGTAGCAAACTGGGGGGAAAAATGCAAAGAAAAAAAACAAAAATAGTGCAACAAATGATTAAGGGTAAGAAACACGTTTGGTCCAGAGGGTTAGAAGTAACCCCAGCAATACTGTACAGAAGAATAACGGATCGCAGGAGGGGACAAAAAGTACGAAGGGCGTACAGGGTCTCTGCTACACAATCTCACTCACAAGCAGTAGTGCATTTACACACGTCTGTCAGCTACCACTACAAGAGGATGAAAAGAAAGAGATCCTTCACCTTTTTACAGTTTTTTTTTTTCTTAGAGAGATGTTAGTTAGTGTGTAGTGTGCACAGGATCACCCCCCCCTCGCTGTCCATCTCGGGCTGCGTTATGAGTTGTGGCAGTGACTGTGTAGGCTGTCTCCGCTCCAGCGTGCTGCTGTGGAACACGGGAACATCTGGGGAGGGGAGAGAGGCGGGACTTAGTGTGGCATCCAACCTTTCATTGTTGTCACCTGTGTGTCAAACCCCAGCTTCAGATGATTGGAGGAATGCCACAATGGATGAGATTATTGTTCTGCGATCAGTGACCTTCCTACCCAATGGAAGCCAACAGAGGTAACCAATAGGAAGTGGGTTAGACTATTTGGTGATCGATGGGGTGGAATTCAAAGATTGATTTCTCCAGTTATTCCTAAAGGGGTTTTTTTTTAGCAGTGCTTCTCATGCTGGTTCTGTCTAAGCAAACATTTAAGCTTGGTGTTATTAAAACGCTATTGGAACCTACTTGATGTTTTGTGCTAATTCTGATGTGCTCCCTGGTTTAAATATGACAGAACAAGTCCTGTCTGGGATTGGAGTTTAGAGTGACCAGGGTTTAACAGTCCCGATGTGGATTTAAATAGCTGCCAGTGCTTAAAGGGGAATCGGGTCAGTGGTCATGTGCTGGGTTTGTACCTGCGATGCGGTCTGGGATGTACACTGGACTTGGACTGGTGATGCGGGTCGGCGCCAAGGTGGAGGGCAGAGTGGCAGAGGCAGGGGCCGCGCCGGCACCAGCAGCTTTTCCAGACTCCTGTCCTTTGTCGGTCTGGGTACAGCTGTCCCGACTGCCCGTCTTGGAGTGTCCGGCCACCATGGGAGCGGACGGGAACACGGGTGAGGGCGACGAGGAGATGGACTCGGCCCGTAGGGAGTCCGCGCGGAACTCGGGGCCCAGCAGAACCCCTGAATGTGCGGGAAAGTCCACACGCAGAAACTGCAGGTCATCATCACGTGACGTTAGCCAAGCACTGTAACCATGGAAACTACAAGGGAACGCATCTGCCGTTCAGGGAAAGAGTTAAGTCATGTGACAATCCCAGCTCTGTGCCCCGTGTGCACTTTAAAGAGTCATGGAACAAGTGCTGTGAGACACAACCGCTGTTCGTTACCATTTTTGCCACTAAGCAGACAAATTTATCTAATAAATCTAATTAGCGTGACTGCAAAGCGAACATGTAATCTGTCGCTTCTCCTCCCACAGTTTTTGAGATATGGACTCCAAACAATGTCAACTCGTCCAACCCATACCTGACAGGTGTGTTCGTACACAGCTTTTGGACAAGACCCTCCTTCTCTACATGTTGTTTCGATCCTCTTTTGGCCCCGTAGGATAAACATGGGATTTCGGAATCAGACACAGAAATCATTTGCCACAGAAGTCACTTGAGGGATTTGAAACTGTAATCTTTTAAAGTCGTTATTCAACGTTAGGTATTCAAACTGCCCTAAAGGGAATGTGTGGTGCCCTCTAGTGGTTAATAAGAGTGATGTCCGGTTTCAGGTCATTTGCATGCTAATATAAAAACCGCCTGTGTTTCTCAGTATTCTTGGAGGCATTTGTCCCCCCGGGCCAGGGTGGTGTTGAGGCAGGAAATCCCCATGATCCTGTAATTCCCAAAGTGCTAACGCTCTGCCCCGCGTGGCACTTACCCAGGCTTCCCTTCCAGCTGCGGTCGTCCTTGCGCTCCTCTGTGATGGGGCTGCTGCTCAGGCCCAGCGAGTGCGACAGCAGCCCCGAGCTGCCCGCGTTGGCGATGGACATGAGCGACTTGCAGGGCCGCATGGTCGACGGCGCATCCGACTTGCCGGGATCCTTACGCGAGCGCTGGTGCAACACCTTGATCATGGCGTCCTTCTCGATGATCTGGGCATGGAGGCTCTTGATCCTTTTGGGGGTTAAGGTCAAACGGGTGATGAGGTCACATGGCTGATGAGGTCACATGGCTGATGAGGTCACATGAGGTCCTCGCTGGCCGTAAGTGTCGTAGTACGCTTATGGAAATTTACTGGGTGCCAGCGGCTACGCACTAAAACTACGGTGCCAGGCATGGCACACCGTCCTTGGCAACCGAAAATGGGAACAACAACCAAACGAGTAAATATTTTGGTTTTTGGAAAACAACAGTAGGCCTCAGTGTCCAGAGTCCCGATGTCAACTCGACAGAACTGGAATGCAGGATGACGCCAAGGCTACAAGGTCCTTTTTGAACCATGAGGCTTTTCAAAGCTTCTAAGGACCAACAACAATCCCACCGACTTTCCGCCCAAGACGTAATTAAGGCGAAGTCCAACCAACACACTATTCATTTTTTGCCTGCAGCTAAAGACTTCACGGTCTTTGATTGGGGTAATACTCTCAAAATTACTGGGCACTGGAAGTCATCAGAAACTAATCCTGGCTCCACAGTGTTCATGAGGTAATCATGTCCTCAGTAATGCTTATTCTTGACAATGCAGGCTAGCTGCTGGGGGGGGGGGTGTATCTCACCTGCTCTCCATGTCCAGGCAGCGGCGGTTGGCCATCAGAATCTCCTCCTCCTCCTTCTGGATCCGTGCCTCCACAGAGGTGTCATAACTGCTGGTGGGGGAGTGACTGATCCCAGCCGATGTGTCCCTACGAGGGAAAAAAAAACTCCCTCATCCTTCTGTCCTAAAGGGCCTCCAGGATTTAAGACCTTCAAAAAAAACGCCTACGGTGCCAAGGAGGGTCGAAGATTCGAGGTCCAAGAAAACTCGTACATAATACAACATCTGTCATAAAATCAGCCAATAAAAATTACCAAGCCAGTAAGAACACGCATTTTGAAGCGTTTAATGTGCTAATGGCCGAGGGAATAAGCTACTTTTCATATGTAATCTCCCTGGCGAGAAGAAATCTGTAGCACTGTCCGGTGGTGATGGGGTGGGATGGATCCTGGGTTTCCTAGAGGTTGATGAGAGTACAACTCGGACAGCGAAAGTCAAGTTGCCCCTGCTGTCTTACTCGCCTGATTAACATCTGACTTTGAATCAAAACTCTAGTTTAACAGTAAGAGGGTTATGCCAAGACATGATATCATACGTGAGAACAGATTCAATTAGTGGTCTATAGCAGGTTTGCCAGCCAGCTGACCAACGTTGGCAGTCTTGGTCTATAGACCGTGGTTGGGATATGACCACCCACCTCTGTGTGGCGACAGTGGCGGCAGCGTCCATGGCGAACTGTCTCATGACGCTCTCCTCCAGGTACTTCTGCTCCCACTTGGTCATGTCGGCCTCCAGCGCCAGGATCCGCTCCTCCTTCTCGCGGAGGTGCTCCATCAGAGCCGGCGTGCTGTACTCGGCCCCCCCGGCGGTGCCGCCGCCCTGAGAGCTGCCCTGCCGCTGAAATGCAACCCGCTGTTAGCCGTCGACGCCTTCCGGAATTCTCTCATGTTGCGGCATCACTTTAAGTTCAATGGTCAGCTCACGATTTCAATTAATTGGAGTCGGATCAAACAAACAACGCAAGACGCTTTCCCACGACCGTCACCCACTTTGTAATTTAAATTTAATCTGAGTCAGATGCTCCGATCGATGAGACGACGATCTGATACGAGATGAAGGACTCTCCTTTAAATTGCAAAAAAAAAAAAGAAAAACCTCACGGGGGCAGGTTTGGGGAAGCAAACCGCTCCCCGATTAAAGGAGATTTCGGGGAAACCTCAGAGAGGCAGCCGGAGAGGCTGAGACGAGGTCATGAAAGCTTTCAAGATGTGGGCCTCCATCATTCGGCACCACGAGACGGCGTACAGATGGAGAAAGAATAATTTAAGAAAACACGCCACTGTTACTTTTTCCAGGAGTTGCCTGTCCAACACAAATCAGCGGCGAGAGCGAGAGACATACAGGAGGCCTCAGAGGACCCTGGGCGGGTGCTGGGGATCCGCGGGCCTCTACTGCCCTGGCCAACATCAGCGTCAGTGTCTGCCGTAAGGAAAACACCGAGCGGGAGAGGGAGGACGGAGAGGAGGAAGCCGCCGCTCGACAAAAACAGAGCTGCTTGCCTCGAGCCTGCCAGAAAGACCACCTGGATGTTCCATAGCACCATTGGAGGAACGTTCTGGAAATGCACAGGATGAACGCGGGACGTCCTGTCGCCGGCGAGGAACGTTATGGTTGCTGACAACGGGGGGTACTTCTTTCCAGCACAGTGGGGCATAAATGGCGGTTTGGTTTTTTTAAATTTTTTTTGTGGAACCTGGGTGATTTGCTGTCGTCAGGGAAATGACGATTCCTCCACGGTAACGACGAACAGGACGTGTCAAACCGTCAGGTCAAAGTTTTAATTGATAGCGAGTCGTCACGGCAACAAACCTAAGTACGAAGAAAAGCCGTGACATAATGGCTGAGGTTTAGCGTGTCTGGGGCGCTCCGAACAAGACGCTGAGGTGTGATCTGGGAGGGGCAGCTCACATCAACTAAATCTGTTTCCCAGCACAAACAGTCAATGTTGGATCAGGATGAAAAAGACCTTTTGGGTGTATCCTTCATTATGACTACAATGGAGAGTGATCACATGACACTCAAAGGCTCTGCAGCCCGACTCTGACCAGTACAGCCAGGGTTACAACAACTAGTAATATTAGTTTTGCTGAGTGCAGCTTTTATTTCATCCTGAATGTTTTTTTTTCCTCTGGCATTTTTCAAATTCCTAAGGTGATTCACTTGTCACAGCTGCCTGGAGCCATGATGCCATTTTCAGATGGGATTCCTTCCCCCATACC